TTTCAGTTTCGACGGTAACAGTCATAATTGTATGTCCTTCTCGCGTCTGGCCTAAGTGTTGAGCGCGGCCAGAACCTTTAGTTACTCCTGGCTGCGCCATTGTCTTCAGAACTGTGAAGATCTATCTGTTTGTGTCTCAGCACTTTTAATTTGTTCCTATAAGGCAATTACAGCGTCTATAGTGCGTTTCAAAAATCGTGACGAACTTTAAAAATGTGTAACTCACCTACCGCCCGGTGCCAAAAATAGTGAATTAACATCTAGTTTTTATTTTGCCTCATTTGCGGCATTTTTGAAAAAAAAAAAGACTCTGATTAAAAGCAAACAGTCAGTATTCATTGCGTAAATTGAGTAAGGGAACATTTTCTAAACATCAGATTGCAAGTGTGTCAGGCGTTTCGCGCTTAGGTAGTCATCTCCGGCATAAGTTTCTCCTGAATTGTGAATTTTTCAATGACGGTAGACGTAGCTATCAAAATAATCACCACGCATGGCTGCACGTGTGAACTGATTTCCAAGCAATCCACACTTGTCTCGATTAATATATATTTTATCTTTCAGGGGTACAGACATTATTAATCAAACACGGATTAAAGAAATTCGCCGCTTTAAGAAGGCATCAACATTCGTAAATTCAAATCTGTAAATTATAAAATCATAAGGACATGGGACATCTAAGGCGACATGTACAAGTTGTTGATCCTTAGAGGAGTTTTTGTGACATTTAAGTATGACAGTATGAGTTCTGAAACATACTATAGCTTCTCATGCATCAGGAATTTATCTTACAGTATTTTAGTAGCAGACACCCACGTAAATAGTGACAAAGAATGCGGAATGACATGGGATTATACAACGATGATGTCTTCACAACGAAGGTCTGCCCTAGTTCCCCACCGTTATCTTTAATGAGGCCACAGTCTCTTCCACGTTGCGATTCTCGTACCAATGTTCAAACACCACGACAACAGATTTTTTTTTCCTTCACCACGGAAAACGAAACCTAGCCTTTGAGGATCTTAAAATTGTGAAATTTGATAACCCTTTGCCACAACCGGGCACACATACACAAATATAGTTGAATCTCATTAACATGAAACCAGATTGTGTTAATGTTAGTCCTGATTAGTGTGACTGTCTGTAGCACGAACTCGATCTCACCACCCTGGAGATTCCTGTTAACAAGGGTTTACCTTGCAAGCGAATCGTTAACCGAAGTTGAAACAGATTTCAGCTTATATATGTATGCTTATTTCCTATTTTTTTTTTTTTTTGGTCGAGTTTTCCAAATAATTTTTTATGTATTTATATATCTTTGTAAAAGCAGCAGCGAAAGTAGTAGTAGTCGTAGTAGTAGCAGTAATAATACATTTTGTGTTTTTCGTTGGCACAGGTGCGGAGCAACTATGGGGCGACCCGTTTGCTATTAAGCTGAAACTAAGATTACCAGATTACCAGTAATAATAGTAGTAATAATAGTTAAAGTAATAGTAGTAGTAGTAGCAGTAATAACAGTAGTAATAATGGTCAAGGTAATTGGTGTAATAATAGTAGTAATAATAGTCAAAGTAGTGGTAGTTGCCGCTATAATAGTAATAGTAGCAGCAGCAGAAAAAGAAAAAAAGTAATATATTGCAAATTGCACACACTCATGCGACACCATAAAATAAAAAAATAAATAAAACACACATAATGTGAAACATTGCTATTTTTCTTCTTATCGTTCACACATTTAACACTACAAAATAAATTTAACATAAAACTGCAAATTAAATCAGCTACGTTTAATACCGCTAATATTTGACGTTATAAATTATTAGAAAACCGTTATATAAAATAGATGTGTGCTATTAAAATCCAGTATTTTTATTTGAATGTGATACTATCCTAATTATGTTTACCCAACCTAAAGACGCGATGGCGAAGCTCAGTTACTATTTTTGTCCCTCATTTTTGCTTTCGCTTTCTCAAGAAATATTTCTGTCGTAACAGATGCTTCTGCTGTATGACATCTTCTTTTGTTCTTCATGCACCGCATGCAACTCCTCCTGAATTGGTTGCCACTTTTTCTGTATCCATTGAAATAGAGGTACTAAAGAACCAGCGTCTTCTTCAGGCCCAATGACCGTCAGCAGCGGAGTGAACCAAAGCAGAGAGTAAAACAGTGATAGGAGTATTGTTAGCATAATGAAGAGGCCGAACTGAAAGAAGAAGTAAATTTGGGCGTGGATCATGAAGCTAGCGGCTCCAGCTGTGGTGATTGCCCCTGATAAAACTGAGACTCCCATTTGCTCCAACATGTCTCTGGTTTTTCGCTCTCTCAGAGTGTGTGGGGCATGATTGTAGCTCTCAGACAGATGCACAACATAATCGACTGACAGACCGGCTACCAGGGATAAGTTGATCGACTCGATCACTGATATCTTGACGTCAAGTAATTTAATGCAGCCAGCGAAAGTAACGATCACAAGGATAATGTTGAAGGTAGCCATGAAACTGAGGATGACATTACGGGTGGCCAGAATTAACACCAGAAACGCCAAAATAGTGCCAAGGATGATACCCCTATAGGCTGACTCCTGCAATACCTTAAACATCTTAAATTGATGCCAGGCGGGTTTCTCAGTGGTCTGGAAACCCTGTATTGAGGCCGGCAGCTTTGACATAAAAGACTTAGTAAAATTCTCCCAAGCATCGAAAGCTGCCAGACCTGTCTCAAAATCTGTCATCCCATCGACCAGACGTGTGATTATGGGAATAATTAAATACCTCAGTTTGTTCCCATAAACCTCGTGAGGAGCGCTTACCACAGGAGCACTGTCTTCACTATGGGCAACTCCCAGAAGTTCTGAAAGCTCCACGTCGCCAGTAAAGTTGGCTCCCGTTTCGTAGTCGCCCGTGTATGCGTTGGTGAGCCAGTAGGAGACTGCCGTCTCGAAGAAACGATAAAAATCCCCGCTGGTGACATTGTCAGCATACAAGTCACGACGAACCTGGGCAATGTTCAGGAACTTGATGCCAGACACAGGAAGTGACAGATTCACTGGCTGTTTAAACAGACTACTGTCCAGCCCGTGCGTTGTGTAGAACTGGTTCATATTATCCAACAGGCAAACAACTTCATTTTGTTTGGTTCGTTTATCCTTAGCCAAATGAAGGTTTGGATGGCCGTCTAATGTTTTTAGCATACGACATGCGTTTAAAAGGGCAATCTGTGCAGGAATGGGATTAAGATCTAGAGACTCATCATACCTATAAATTCCTAAACAATTATAATCATGTACGCGACAACTGGACATGTCTTGCTCTTTCAAACCGAACACAATATAGATTTTGAGACGAGCATCTTGCAGTCTTTGTTTGAAACCGCTCTCTTCCAGTTTCAAGGCTTCTTGAAAGTTGTACCCATTTCTATAAAACTGAACATTCTTTTCCGAGATCTCTAGTCGACTTGCTAGGATTGCAAAGAGCACACCGTTTCCCGTGCAGCCAATGATAAAGACCCACTTGAAGACTTTGTGACTGATAAGTGAGTAAAAGTGACCTTTGAAAAACTTTACAATACAGTTTGGCTGCAGTCTCTTGGCGGTGTCTGTTATTGGAGCGGGATAGAAGTACTTCCACGGCCACGGACACCTGGCTATGTTATTGTGGTATACAAGAACACACATCGGGAAGAAGAGCACGGCAGATACATAGTTAGTCATCACAAGGATGGCTGTAAAGACAGCAAAACTGCAGATGCCGTACAATGGTGTAAAGACGTTGGATACGAAAGCGGCAGCTGTTGTCAGGGATGTGATCAGCATAGACATTGAGGCGTGCCTGAAGCAGAAGGTGAATCTCCTCTGGGTAGTATTAAGGTCCATGCAAGCCGTGGTTCGCCACATATCGTAGTAGACAAACAAGTCGTCAGTGCCGATACCCAGAATGATAAATATGGACATGGCGTGAAATATACCAAAGTAAGTGTGATCCAGAATGACTCTATAAATATAGTTGGTCCACATAAAGCTGAAAATAATGCTCATGATGCCGAACACGGTAATGAAGACAGACTGCGTTTGCACCAACACAAAAAAGAGAATGAACAGAAAGGAACCGAAGGCCAAAAAGATATCTTTTTCTACCTGCTTCATAAGCTCAGAGAACATCATATCTTCATTAAAATAATAAATTTTCATTCCTGCACGCCCATTATTCTCTAGATCCACTAATTTTTCTGCAAAGGCCGCTTCCCAGTAATTTTCTGCCGCCATTCCTGGATATGCTTCTCTCGATATTGTAAAAATCGACCTTGTCAGTGTTGACTTCGCTATAGTTGGTGAAATGATAGCATCTTTAGATATTAGCTTCTCAAGATCATCCTTCAGTTGGGTTTCATTGTAAACAGCATGCAAAATCTTGGGAATGTTGGCAAATTTTGTATCATTCAAATTTGAACCGAACGTGCCATCAAAATATCTGAGTACAGAGTTAGGTTTCTTAATGACACCATGTTTATCAGTTAAAGAAACATTTTCCCACCCTTTGGAGCCTGTCAACCAACGCTCTATATCGTCAATAGCCTGTAGACATTCTTTACTGAGCACATTCTCACCCGTGTAGATCACGGAAAGGCTGCGACGAGGCCGTGCCGATGGTAAGAAGCTAATTTTATTCTTTTCGCGGGGCAAGATTCTATGGTCGCGATATAAGAAGGACAACGCTGCCATTCTCGTATATGTAACATCATCTTTTAGATGTATAGGGACGCCTTTAAAATCTAACGGGAACAACTTCTTGTTGGGGTTCTGCAGAACGAACACATATGACAGGAGAATTCCTAGAAGTTCAAACGCAAAAAGCAGTGAAAATCCTATCCAGTAGTTATTCACTACCAACCCGAAAAGCCCGTAGTGCTGAGGAGAATGTGTCATTGCCGACAACCTGAAGAGAAGTGTCATTCCCGACATTCTGAAGAGAAGCGTCATTCCCGACAACCTTAAGAGAAGTGTCATTCCCGACAGCTACTTCAAGTTCCTGAGTGTTGCTGGCCGCCGACGGGGCTTTGAATTGTACTGACCGTTTCTCTGATCCACGTTTCTCTGATCCACGTTTATCTGATCCACGTTTCTCTGACTCCGCAGCCGTCTTGGGGGAGACATGACTGGCGCGGACGGATCCACATTATTTTCTTGTTCTTTAGGTATGTCAGCAGAGCTCATGTTAAGAAGCTGTTGTCTTTATCTGGTGTATCAAGGCATAGTTGTCGTAATCCATGATGCTCTGGACTTTTCAGTGATCCTGGACGACCAGTCTGCGTTGGTCATGAATACAAATTCCAAGACTGTACTGAGGTTCTGTTTGGCACAAGAAGAAACCGGGATAATCAGCAAAATAAGTAAAGTAAAGGATACTTTTGCACACCTTCAGGCGTGTGGGGCATATAGGGTTAAACCTATACTTTATGGACCAATCGGCACTCTGTTGATGATACTGTCAGCATCACGCTTGCCGTCTCTACTTTCTAGGACTTCACCTGGTAACTATTTGAGGCTGTAAAAAAAAAAAAAAAGGAAAAAAAAGGAAAAACAAAGTTCGGCTCCATTCGGGATAGAAACCACGACGATAATTTCCGTAGTTTAGCGTCTGGCCGCTACACCACGTAGTTTCCCAAGAGATAATCAACGATTTGTTCAGTGCAGCAGATGAACGGACAGGCGGACAGCCTAATAGACGGGCAGGCAAACAAATAGACAGATCGACGGATTGCCTGTTCTTCGCACCTACCCCAGATGCACTCTGTCTTTGAGAAAACACCTTTTCAGAACGTACCTGCTAGAGGCGATGCGTCGGATGTTTTCCAGAACTTTCTAGAACTTTCTAGAATGTTTCTGGGCAGTTAAAAACGGCGATGATCTAAACTGGCCACTTCACCTCTTACATTGTAGCTTCTATTTCTTCTTCTTAGAGTCCATGCCGTGTGCCGTTGGCAGTCATGTCTATCCACAATCTTCCGTCTCGCATACTTTCAATCAGCTCTGACACAGATGATCTTTCATGCCATGATGTCAAACAGTCCAGCAGGTGTTTTCTCTCGGTCTCTTTATGCCTCTCCTCCCCTCCAACTTGCTAACAACAGCTAAAAGTGGATGCCAAACTGTGGCTTAGAAATAGGTTCAGAATCGATATCATATCAGTCAGGACATTCCTCATAGGAACCCTGTCCCCATCTCCAGCGGCCAGGGAACAGTTCCAATTCCGATGGTACCAGTAACGATTTGATTGCTCGCCCATCTCGCCCTTCCTATGAGTGCTGAGCGTCGACCTGATCTCCTTTCTGATCACTAATCGTAGCACCATTCTCTCCAGACTGTTTATTCACTCACGTAGGAGCTTTACAACATTCAATGTAATTCAAGATTGTCGCCGGTGCAATCTGATCTAAAACCGTCTTGGAAATATGTTCGACAGCTTGGGGCGAATTTGACGTATTTGCTGTCATCATAGAGGGTATTGTCAGTCGCCACACGATGAGGGATATAGTGAAGACGGGATCCGAGCGCTTATGGACATGCCCAAAGTGTGGTGAGGATAATCTGTCGATTGCTAAGTACCTTTACAACATCTGTATCAGGGCTTCTAAATCTGCCGGTCGCGAAGAAGAAGAAGAAGAGTAAGAATAAAAAGAAGAGGAAGAAGAAGAAGAAGAAGAGGAAGAAGAAGAAGAAGAAGAAGAAGAAGAAGAAGAAGAAGAAGAAGAAGAAGAAGAAGAAGAAGAAGAAGAAGAAGAAGAAGAAGAAGAAGAAGAAGAAGAAGAAGAAGAAGAAGAAGAAGAAGAAGCAGAAGCATCAGCAACAGAAGAAGAAGAAGCAGAAGCAGCAGCAACAAAAGAAAAAGAAGCAGAAGCAGCAGCAACAGAAGAAGAAGAAGAAGAAGAAGAAGAAGAAGAAGAAGAAGAAGAAGAAGAAGAAGAAGAAGAAGAAGAAGAAGAAGAAGAAGAAAGAAGAAGAAGAAGAAGAAGAAGAAAAGAAGAAGCAGAAGAAGAAGAAGAAGAAGAAGAAGAAGAAAGAAGAAGAAGAAGAAGAAGAAGAAGAAGAAGAAGAAGCAGCAGCAGAAGCAAACACAGAAGAAGAAGAAGAAGAAGAAGAAGAAGAAGAAGAAGAAGAAAAGAAGAAGAAGAAGAAGAAGAAGAAGAAGAAGAAGAAGAAGAAGAAGAAGAAGAAGAAGCAGAAGCAGAAGCAGCAGCAACAGAAGAAGAAGAAGAAGAAGCGGAAGCAGCAGCAACAGAAGAAGAAGAAGAAAAAGAAGAAGCAGAAGAAGAAGAAGAAGAAGAAGAAGAAGAAGAAGAAGAAGAAGAAGAAGAAGAAGAAGAAGAAGAAGAAGAAGAAGAAGAAGAAGAAGAAGAAGAAGCGGAAGCAGCAGCAACAGAAGAAGAAGAAGAAAAAGAAGAAGCAGAAGAAGAAGAAGAAGAAGAAGAAGAAGAAGAAGAAGAAGAAGAAGAAGAAGAAGAAGAAGAAGAAGAAGAAGAAGCGGAAGCGGAAGCAGCAACAGAAGAAGAAGAAGAAGAAGAAGAAGAAGAAAGAAGAAGAAGAAGAAGAAGAAGAAGAATAAGAAGAAGAAGAAGAAGAAGAAGAAGAAGAAGAAGAAGAAGAAGAAGAAGAAGAAGAAGAAGAAGAAGAAGAAAAAGAAGAAGAAGAAGAAGAAGAAGAAGAAGAAGAAGAAGAAGAAGAAGAAGAAGAAGAAGAAGAAGAAGAAGAAGCAACAGAAGAAGAAGAAGAAGAAGAAGCAGAAGCAGCAGCAACAGAAGAAGAAGAAGCAGAAGCAGCAGCAACAGAAGAAGAAGAAGAAATTGACTGCATTCATAGTCGGAGCTGAGCGTGTGAAAAGAAGCACATTCTATACTTGCTTTAAAAACAATGGCTCTGGAATCTCATGTCCACTTTTGGACAACATGTATAAATGCAAACCGGTGTTTCTAGTTCCACTAGCGGTTACCACGGACTGTGACTCCCGTGCACCCCTTTGCACGATATTATACATTAACGCAAGGAAGGACTTAAAGGTGACAACAAAACACTGAACGATGTGTATGTGAATTTGCCTTGCAAGACTGCAATTAAAGAATCGACTGTTTGAGCTGCAGAGATTTTCAAAACTACAGATGGCAGCTTGGGACTGAAAATGGTCAGAAATATCCATCCGATTCAGTAAGACAACGGGTATTATTGAAAGCACCCTAGTCTATAGTGAGTGATACAAACGACTGAAAGTCGCTTTCTAACGATGGTCACCTTTCTTGCACAGGAAGAAAAAAAAAAAACAATCATCCAAAGTGATACATGCTGCAGTGGCATAGGGAGGTGAGGTGGTACTCGGTGCGGAGAATGTTTTGTCACCCTCAGTAACATTGGAAAGTCTTGTACCCCCAGTAGCATTGCAAGGTCAGATGGCACCCGGTGCAGACTATTTGTATGTTAACTCTTTGAGTCCCAAACAAAGCATGATGTGTGAATCATCATATTTGCCGAATACCCTGCTTAGCTCAATATGTTGTCTTACTTTTGTGTTCGGTCAAAACACACTCAAGAAATCCGGCCTGTGCAATGGTCACTACAACTATTTTATACCACTTTGTAAGTCATTGACGAATTTTAATCACGGATACTTCTTCACTGACATCTCATACGAAATTTTGTTCTGGTACTCAAAGAGTTAAAAACTCATATTTTCTCACCCCCGAATCCAGTGATGACACTTAACCCCAGGGCCTTTGATCATGGTGATGGGAAAAATATATATATATAAATTTGCAAGCACGAAATAAAAAGACAAAAATTTGAAGAAAAACAAAAGAATGCAAAATCACTCAGCTTAAAAAAAAAGAAAGAAAAACATTGACACCAAACTTAACGAGCTCTAGTAACACAGATTCAGACAAGAAATGTGCGGCACACTTAGGTTCCTAACTCAAGCATAGGAAACTTGACAAGACCGCCTAGTCCACTTCAAACGTTGGTTAATCTCACCTCGGCTCCATCTCTGATCATATCTCAGGCTACTTGAAAAGTCTTCAGCTGCTCCGTTTGGCCACTTTGCTGTGTCATCGCCTTTGGTTCGCGGTTTGTTGTTCCCACAGTCTTAACTCAATGAATAATATCCGCCACTATTGTTGCCCTTACCATTTAGTTTTGAGGATTGCGTCAAGTTTATGTCGTCATTCATTGTGTGAGTCCTCATTATCATCATCCGCGTGTATCTTTATACGTCACATTAGGGTAGCATTTTCTTTTATTCCGTTTTATCATGTTAAGTCCTTTCGATTTTACTATTCCAGCTCATTGGAACGACCATTTTAGGATATCTCTAATACGTCCTCGTTTTCTCAGTTAGTTGTGTCCCATTGTAGAATTTTGTGATTACCGTTATCTCAGTTAGTTGTGTCCCATTGTAGAATTTTGTGATTACCGTTATCTCAGTTAGTTGTGTCCCATTGTAGAATTTTGTGATTACCGTTATCTCAGTTAGTTGTGTCCCATTGTAGAATTTTGTGATTACCGTTATCTCAGTTAGTTGTGTCCCATTGTAGAATTTTGTGATTACCGTTATCTCAGTTAGTTGTGTCCCATTGTAGAATTTTGTGATTACCGTTATCTCAGTTAGTTGTGTCCCATTGTAGAATTTTGTGATTACCGTTATCTCAGTTAGTTGTGTCCCATTGAAGAATTTTGTGATTACCGTTATCTCAGTTAGTTGTGTCCCATTGTAGAATTTTGTGATTACCGTTATCTCAGTTAGTTGTGTCCCATTGTAGAATTTTGTGATTACCGTTATCTCAGTTAGTTGTGTCCCATTGTAGAATTTTGTGATTACCGTTATCTCAGTTAGTTGTGTCCCATTGTAGAATTTTGTGATTACCGTTATCTCAGTTAGTTGTGTCCCATTGTAGAATTTTGTGATTACCGTTATCTTTTTTTTTTGTTTCCAGAAAGTGTTTATTGTTGGCCATCTGCCAAAC